AGAAATTATGACAAGATGGGGAGTAGCATATTTGGAGGACTACCATTTCTTAGCCAATGCTCCCAATTAATCAATAACTTATAACATCGTTTATAATGCATTATCCGAAACTGACTCCATCATCAGGATTTGGGTTTACAGCGTAAATAGTTAGTTCCTAAGACACCCAAATTTTTATTTCATCAACATAGAATTTGAGACTATCACTATTCAGGTAACGGAAGATATGTCACAACAAACTGTTGTGTGTTCAGGAATAAACTGACACTAGCCCAAAGACCCAAGGGAGAGCGGACTTTAAATATTTTGCATACGTGATACGCATCTATAGAGCGCATTTTAAAAAGAGCAATTGTAAAGGGATTAAAATCATCATGTACGATGTTGTTAATAGATTTTATTTTCTTTCTATTGCAGGGCAAGCAAGAATAAATGCTTTAGAAGAAGAAGAGCAAGCCCACATCAGCGAGTTGGCATAGACATCATGGGACCACTGACTACGACAAAAAACGGGAACCGCTACATATGGGTTATGGTGGATTATTTCACTAAATGGTGCGAAGCTGTACTCCTTCCACAGCAAGACGCTTTTACTGTTGCCCGAGCTTTCATCGATCATTTGGTCTCCCGTTATGGTGCTCCTGTCTCACTCCACTCTGACCAAGGTCCATCCTTTGAAAGCCACCTAATTACTGAGATATGACGGCTTTTAGGGATCAAGAAGACACACATCACTGCATATCACCCAGAAGGTAACGGTCTCGTGGAAAGAGCAAACAGAACTATTAAGGCCATCTTGCAGTCGTTCGTCAGCAGATCGTCACCCGAGTTATGGGATGAGGTGCTCCCCGAATGCCTTTTAGCATATCGCACGTCGGTACATGGGTCCTTGGGATTCTCACCTGCTATTTTACTGTTTGGGTACGAATTACGCTTACCAGTAGAAATACAGTCACCCCTGCTGCCCTACGAAGAACAAGAGCATGTTTTGTACATACGTACTCTACGCAACGGACCAGCTGATGCATACCGTCTGGTCAATATTAACTTATGCAAGACTAGTGAACACCAAAAAGATATATATGATCGTCAAGCACAAGGACCTAGGTATACAGTTGGAGATCGCGTCTAGTTACGCCGCCCAAGAACATCGTTAGGGGGTTGCAGTAAATTCCATCAGCCCTGATATGGCCCCTTTGAAATTGTCCTCATCCGATCGCCCACCACGTGTGTATTGCGTAACATACAACGGCCTAAAGACGACGTGATAACGGTGCACTGCAACCAGATAAAACCCGATCGGACGATATTTCCCTTCGATGCTCAATTCGCTGATCCACCGCCAGCCACTAGGTTTTACGAAGTACCATCTGAAGGAGGGACAGCATACCCGTGCCCAAGATCAGGCACTGAAGACAGTGCCTCATTATGAGAGGAGGCGATGTAACGTGATTAAAATCATCATGTATGATGTTGTTAATTGATTTTGTTTTCTTTTTCTATTGCAGGGCAAGCAAAAATAAACGCTTTAGAAGAAGAAGAGCAAGCCCTGCACCCACTAAACTTACAGGACGACTCATAAGACCGTTTTGTAAACTAGCTCTCTTTCTGTACAGAACCCCGCGAATTTCAATTTTTAAATAAACGACTGGTGGTCTCCATTCCGTGTTCTCTTTGTGGTATGAAGTGTTCAGTTAACATTGTGTGTGTTGTGGCTATAGGTCTTCCCGCCTTCCAGTGACTGCTGATTACACGTGTTACACAATGATTTTGGACTTTCCGTGAATTAACTTTAGTTTTGTTTAATCGCTTCATCAAAGCATAATTAATACATCTTGCATAAAATTATTTGGACTAAGGTTGAAGATTTTCTTTAATCCCTTTTCGTAATACTATTCCTTTGGTTGATTCTCTCACTAGTGATTACTTAATGTATTTTTCCCTTTTATATCTGCTTACAATAATCAGCTGTGCTTATAAATGTGGACAGACAAAATGTTTGTTCCTTGTGGAGGAAGGACTGTGATGTGATGATTATAAGAATGATCTGCACAAGATAGCATCGCATACAAAAGATGCTTGAAGTCTAGCTTCCAGTGGCATTGTGTCAGTTTTTGTTGCAGTTCGACATCACAGATCCAGGAGTCGACAGGCCTTCTAAAGTTTGGACAATAAGAACAGAGATACTGGCTGCACTGGTAACTTACTTACTGACCACGGTGAATGTGCTTATGTAGAAAGTACTGTTAAGGGGCAAGTCAAACGCACACCTGTGATACATGGAAAAATAAAATCTTCTTTGAGGCAAATGATGAGCGAAATACCAATGGATGTTAATGATCATGATTTCAACGTGCAAACCAAAATTCCGGATAAAACCGTTATGGTTCAAAAGAGTCTCGACGTGACTGTATCAGGTGATGAGAAATAAATGAAAATCAGGAAACAAAGTAGCGAAACGAATAAAGCCATAAAAAGATACTTGTTTTGTTTATAAGCCCTTCGTAGACTCTCATTCTGTAACAGAATACTTCGTTAAAGTTCCAAAGATATTGTAGATAAATTGTTAGAGACAAACGACCCTGATTTAGATGTAAGACACATTCATTATTTGGAAGAGCTCAAACCATTTATTTGTTACATTTCATCAAAAAACTTTACTGAAGTTGGGATAAAAAAATCGGCAATAACAGGTCGTAGAACTGACTAATCCTATCGTCAATTGAATAGCATGAAAAAGGATTATTCGTGAACAGATTAAAACCACTCATCTAAGCATAAGATATTGCCTGTTTAACTGCTCTCTCATTGTTGTTAAATAACGACCATGCTTTATTCGTTCACGTTTAGAGCCTGTGACATGAGAGACGTTCACATTAGACCTAGGTTAAGTGCATGAAGGGCAAACATGGTAGCCATAGAGAAATATACTGCGACAACAGAGTGGTCAGCAAATACCAGTCCATCATTTGAAGTATTACGGTTCGTATTTAAAGGTAAATTTGGTTACATCAACATTTATATCATGCTTGATCTTCTGTAAGCCAAGTAACTCACGAACATGGATACCCAAAGAGTTTAGATAATTTTTCAGATGTGAGAAAATGCGTTGAAGCGTGTTTGTCCTCGAATGCTCTGAACGTATTTACTTGCTTTAAAATCAAGAGTGTTTTCAAGGCGTTAATATGCAAGGCTAGAATCATATGAAGGGATTCTGAATTTAGTCAATAATAAATAAAGAGGCTCAATCAAGGTGATGGAATCCCACCACTTTAACTACGGTAAACACGTTCATACCGGCAAGAAATGGTGTTATTAAAGCCAAAGTATTATCAAACATTTTAATAGTGTTTCCTATTGACAACAAAGAAAGATTATCGATTAGTTGTGATAATGGCGGCTTGTCAACCGATTCTGAGGCTACCAGTTAAAAGGCGACATTACAATTACTTCAGCAACTGAAGCCAGATATGTCTTGCGGTCCTGACGATATACACCATGAAATCCGTGCTGGATGTAACCGATTAACACCTGTCGATACTATCTGTTATGTCTTCGTGGCACTTTAGACTGCTAAGAGTCTGAAAGGACGCGATATTCAGTTGACTATAAAGCAGGCAGTGGAGACTTAGTAGCCATCGACGTGATAGTCTGATCAGTATAACTGTCAACCTATGGGAAAGATTATTCAGACGGCTATTTTAAACTATATGGCAGTATATAATATTTTGTCCAGGGAACAACACGGTTTTAGGAAAAGCCTAACATGCTTGACAAATCTGTTCATCACACGAGAACATTAGGTTGCAGCGAAAGGTACGGATATTCCGTTTTTCATGATTTTCATAAGTCCAAATAAAGCCGTTGAAAAGATTGGTCACCTGAGTCCTAAATTAAAACTGGAAGATACTTGGGAACCATAATAAAAACATAAACTGCATGAGTGACCTTTTCAACGATAGGAGACAAAGGCACATGTAAATGAAGTTCTATCAGTCTGGAAATCTGTATAAAGTGAAGTTCCTCAAAGTACGATCCATGGTAGTCTTTTTCATCTGTTCACTTTTCGAAATTGAAAAAAACATTTGAAGACCAGTACACAGTATTTCAGGTAGAATAATATTACAGGATGACCTAAAATCACTGGTTGAACAGAACTGTGCTTAGTCATTAGAAGCTAACTCCAACAAGATGGTGGTGATGCAGATAAATAACTGCGATGATTCATACTATACGCAAAATGTGTGGTTATGTTACCTAATTTAGTGGACTATAAAGGTCAAGGAGTAATAAGCAATGAGGAGATCATAGCTACATGTAAAGACTAGGCTGTCCCTGCCAAGAGCTTCAAGGTCTTTCGGGTTATTAGTAAGTCATTTCAATATTTGAATGAATAAATGTTTATAGTGCTTTACTATAATATAGGATGGTTTCAATGGCAAGGAACCAAAATGGTAAAAGCTCTGTCTAGCCCATCTTATGAAGATAAACTGAAAAGTCTCAACATACTCTCATTATTTTGCCTCAGGGTACGAGGTGATCTAGTACCAGCTTATCGTATTCTGAACGTCAGTCTGCTTATCTGTTTGTCTTATCTTTCTCCTTTATGCAGGACTGTCCATCTAAAAGGACATTCTATGAAAAGTGAGATCAAATCGCTTACGTCTGTAATTCCGAGTAGTATCAGTGGGATTCGCAGCTGTAACATGTAATATGCAAATATTCTGTAAATAAATTTGAATACGGATAGGACCTTTACAGTTCTGGAAATTCACAGGTCGTCTGACCTCCCATCCTTACTATCGGTGACTAATGCTCATGAAACAAAAAATTGGGTTGTCTAATGGAGCTTCCTTACATTCCGCTATCGGAGAAATTGAGATCAAGAAAAAGCAGTCTTCAGTTGCAATCAGATTTCCTATAATTTTTATTCCGATATTCTATTCCGTTATTAGCGTCAGGTTGGACACTGTCTCATTTGTTTCTATGTTTCAATAATACTCGTTGTTGACTTTGCGCTCAAAACAAATCGGTTTTTCGTTCAATGTATGTTGGTAGTGTGTCGTTTCCGTGGTTGTGCGTTTTTTAAACTGTTTTAGGACTATTTTTGTATTTCATAGCAAGTGTGCATTTAAATTTGCCGCTCGGATTTATTCTAAAAGGCCCTTTTATTAACGACCAAATTTATATTTTCTGTGTGCAATAGATGAAATTTTGCCACTTATATCCTGAAAAGTATCCTATATATTTCGGTTGCCGCTGAAATCGCCTGTCTTACTTGGGATTCTTTACCACTTACCTATCGGTTTACGTATATTCGAGAAAACTACTTGTATTTTGAATATCGTCGATTTAAATGAACCCTAACTGGTTGAACTGTGTTCGATGTATTGATTTGTAATAAATTTGTTAAGGTTAATTATTTCATTTATAATCATATTTTTCCAAGTTCTACTACTGAGAATATAGTTTGACTTATGGTTAGATGGTAGTGATAACTTATGCTAAAGTATTATTATTTGCTATCCTAGACAAAACCTGATATTAAGTTTTAAGCTTGTTTCTCGATTGAAGAAATGTGTTATGTTCGTAATGCAAATAACTTGATTTTTGATTCCAAAATAATTGTTGTGCACTAATTACATTGATGTTAAATAGTGTTTTTTCTTTAAAATTCTTATTCTATTCAATGTTGCTCTGTAACAATACCTTTGGAACTCATCTTTTGTTAAACTGGGCGAAACACTCGTCATAAGCTAATGAGGCAACTAGTGTGATGACGAGGTAAAAAGGTACTGTCTAATCAAACATTTAGACAAGGATTACTTGGAATTAACTCTTAGTAAGCTTATACTAATATTTCGTAATTGATTTAAAACTTCATGCCAACCGGTTGAAAACAAACTCAGGTTATTGTACCCCTAACTGACAGTTTTGTCCCAGATTCTTCATTGTTTGCCTGATTGTTTCATGAAATAATTTAGCAGTTGTTTTAATGAACACCTGTTTGTATTTCTCGCATGTGATATATATATGGTATAAAACGTAACGAAACTGGCGCTTCGTATTTATGAACAAGTGCAAACGTTTCTATGTTCAAAATTTATTGAATATATGTCATGTTACAAGTTATGTTTTGGTTAACACAATAATAACTGGTGATTAGTGAACATTAAGCTGTCGTTCTTATGTTTCTGTTTTAAATCTGCAACATAAGTAAGCATCAATCACTAAGTGAAGTCGTTCACTCGAAAATCACTGGTTATTTAACTGTATCTTCTTTACTGATCGTTTATTTCTGAGAATCCCTGAAATCATTCCTAACTATTTACAAAATTGGAATAAGAGTTATCAGTTGATATTGAGCATACTCGTATCTGATCTATTAAATTCAGCTTAAATTGCTGGAGAAATTTCACTCCGATTATTTCTTAAACTAGCAGAACTAATCTTCCTATACAATGCGTATTTTTGCTGCCACTATGCTGTTGATTTTTCTTAAAGCTTCTACATCTTAGTAGATCATAAGTGTCATTCTTAAAACGGTCACAAATTATGTAGTACGAATCCCAAGTTAATTAGGTACTATAAGTCAGTTAGATATTTTTTTTCGTTCTTATTTTCAGAATGAATTGGTTTCTTTACCTTTGTTTTATTTTTATTTAACAGGATAACAGACGTTCGGATTTCAGAACATTTCATTCTTGTCATATTTCTAAAACACTGAAGTAATTCATTATCAGAGACATTTTAAACTAAAAAAAATACTATGCGCGACGCAAATGCAAACGAACGAACTGCACTCACCACTGGTACTGGTGGTGCAGATTCATTCGAAATTTCCCCTAAAGATCTACAAAAATTAATGGACTGTCGTAAATTGGAGGCTGTTAAATATCTTAATGAGAAATACGGTGGAGTTGTAGGATTATGTCGACTACTTAAAACATCTCCACAAGATGGTGAGTTACATTTTTGCTTGGATTTTAAATGATAACTGGAATATCTGTCGAAAATTTGGAGAGTTACTTATTTATATTAAACAGAATTATTATTTAAGGTAGTTTTGCCACTCAGTGGTCAAGTATAGTCATGTGCAGCCATGTGTGATTGTCTTAACTGAAATAATTCAAGTTACGCTTAGATCTGCCAACGGTATGATATGGCTTAGAATCTTCTACAGTCACAGAGATGGATTCACTGGATGTCTCAAAATACTGATTCTTCTTATTATGCGAGTTTATTCTACCATCTTTCATATAATTTATACTTGGTCTTTTCTACTACTATTGACATCTGTTCTGCTACTCTGAGAAATGTCTCAACAATGCCATCTTGCTGTGCTGTGTGGGAACCACTGCACTTATGTGACATGTTGTGCATTATAATTGACTGACTTCAGTCTGGCATCTGGCGTTTGAGAGTAGAATGTCTAGAGCACCAAGTCGCATCTCGACTTTTAACAAAAATTTCATACACAACTTTGTGGCCAGCTGTTAAATTACGTTCATCAGCTAATTTTTATTCATGTCAGTTGAGTTTCTCTTCAAAGAATAATTTTGTTAATTCTTACGCTTAATTTCCGGAAGCCAAACATTTCGTATCACCATTTATCAACCCTTTTTCATTATTAATTTTAACTCTGAAAAGGTTTATTTTATATTATTTGAGCGTACACAAGTCATATCAATCAGAATTAAGGCTTTTAGCGTTCTGTAAATGCTAGGAGTGAAATCTATATTTGTTCCCAACCATACTCGTTAATCAAAAATTGGATGTATATGGGTTTGAGTGTTCATTTTTTAGTGAAACCTTAAGTCAACACTTTCTTGGGGAATGCTTTTTCAAAAGAAACGAGGGAGTCAAGGAGTAAAACGTCAGAAATAATATTGAAATTCAGAATTTAGGTGGAAAGATGTAGAGTCCATATATCTGTATCACAGTGGTTGATTGTAAGCTGCATCATCAAACATCTTCAGACATAATTCATAGCAGGTCGAAAAATTAGGAAAAACAACCTAAATCCTAAGGTCAATTTGTCAGCTTTAATCAGCACAGCAGTTAATGTGACAAAACTTCCACCAAATGTTCAACTAAAACCAAGGTGGATTTCTTTCATTTTATTAATACAATGTGAATGAAATCTTTTTATTAGCATCGAAACCCAAGTTTCCTTAGAAAAGGCAAACGATTTATTAAGTTTAACATGCTTCTTGATCGTTACTTTTCACCGCCTATATTAGGTAATAAATTGATTTTTAAAAATATTTACTATAAATGACATCATAATTAATATTTAGGCAACAAAAATTGACTGACATATTGATAAGACATTTATATGGAATTTTCACGGTATACTTCTTACTTTTTTTTACAACCATTGAGAGTTTCTCTCAGTAGTCGTAGCCTTCAGTGTCTAAAAAATTGTTTTTACTGATGGATACTTTCAACTGTGACTTATATTACTAGAAATAGTATCCAGTTTAAAGTCTCTTGAGTCTTACAAGGTGGTAACCTAGTAAGCAAGCCACTCATCTCTGAGCTACCAGGTTACGAATTCGATACTTGCTCCACCTACCACAGTCTAAGCAGCGCTGGTAGCATAAATTCCCCTCACTAACAAAAGCATGACCTGTCATTGATGAATGTATTATATCATAATAAAAATTCTGTGACATTGTTGATTGATGGTCCTAGTCGTTTACGAGGTTGTATGCTACCTACTGAATATGGTTCTTGAGACACTGGTTACATTTATTCATCAGTTTGCACTGGGGACTGTTATACGGTCTGTCCCAATCATTATTCTAGTTTTATCAGTCGTTGGGAAATCTTTAAACCTCGAATTGCAATCGATAAGTCTCAGGTTCAAATCATTCTATATTTGACTCGCTTTGAGGGTCCTAAGTAATATCATTAGTCTACATACAAAGAATTGTAGCCTAAACCTGATTACATAAACCTGTATGTATTTGATAAATACGTTATCAGGTACCTTCTTTGACCAACTTATTAGGATATGATTGTTCTTTAAACCATTATTTATTTATTTCAACACATAGATATTGGTACAAAGAGGCACCAAATACATATGCGCCACATAAATCTCATTCGATATGTGTGAGGGCTGTGATACTGCCCGGGTTCCCAAACTGAAACAGGTGGTTTTCTCAGGGGGCCACACCCGGAGCCTTCGACCTGAGGGTCTGATCTACAAGGCAGTGGAGCATCATAAGGAGATGCAGTTCCATGGTAGCCGGTGACCAACAATTGGTTCATACGCTATTTGTTCCCGCAGGATACTGGAGCCCATGTGCACCATTGGTTTGGAATCCGGTTAAAGCGCCGGATATTCGCTTTTCGTTCTCTCATTTTCGTGAACAACACCCCCGCCACGAGAAGGCAGTGAGTAGGACTTCCCTGACAGAGGCTATATACGCGTGACCATTTGAGAGCATTTCGAGAGGGAGAGCGGACTCTCCCCACTCTCGACCGTACCAGGGCATTTGGGGGCTCTTTAAACCATACCTATTGCCAGTGCAAGACTAGTAATATTTTTTAACACACAAATACACACCATATTATATAGATATGCTTAACAAAAATCATTAACTTATATCTGGTTTGTTTCAAACCACTTTGCTTTCAAAACACTAATCTTCCGTTAATACTGCTACTAGGGATTATATAATTAATAACATTAGTTCTTTATTTTGTCCCTCTGTTGAGATCGTATATTTTAAGAGAACCAAAGAATAAAATTTCTCCTTGATAGGCTGTAGAAATCATTGTATTTTTCAAGTTGTTTATACAATCAGTAGTAATATTAGTAGTAGTAGCACTATAAGTATACACGATCTATAGTCGCCCGCCATATTTAATCCGTGTCAAATTATTGGAATGGACACAACATCAGACAGATTGTATTAGACTTTTGCACATAATCGGTAAATTTTCAGAGAATATATTTTTGTACGTGACCCTCTGTATGTCTGTCTGTCCCTCTAGATACATAGAATACAATAAAGTAGTAATTAGTTTGATCTGTTTTATTCTAGTCTTGTGGAAACTAACTCAGATGTAATGGCTTAGTGTAGTTTGGATTGCAATTAGTGTGTTGGTGAATTCGAACCTTGCTTTTTTTTAAACTGTATCATCAGGTTTCACATGTGAAAAGCTGAGGATTTCCGGACTACTCTATACTGATTGGTTTATTGAAGACGGCATTTATGTGTTTGTAAAAACACAGGAGAGTTGTAAAATAAAAACTTACAAATTTAATTACAGAAAACACCGATACATAAGTGATTTTCCATCTGAAGTCAACAGGTTATTGGATAATGCATTGGCGTTTGAAGCCCCTAAATGCCTTGGTACGGCCGAGGGTAAGCAAAGTCGGCTCTCCCTCTCCAAATGCTCTCATATGGCCACGCGTATACAGCCACTGCCAGGGAAGTCCTACTCACTGACTTCTCACAGCATAGGTTTTGTTTACGGAATTGAGAAGGCGAAAAGAGAATGCTTGACGATTTGGCCGGGTTAGTCGACACAGAGGATCCACCTAGGGGAGTTGGAAAACCCTCGTTCCAAACCAATGGTGCACATGGGTACCAGTATCCCCTTCGTAGCAATATTTATGTGTTCAAATATATAAAATAATACATTGGGGACTGGGTCTGAGTTTTAATGTGAACATCACTGATATGGACATATACACTTAACTGACCAGTCTCAAACAGGACAAAAGGCCTAATATTGAGTTATGTGAGAAGTCATAAGTGAAATATACAACGTCATTCTCGTTTGAAAGTACTTTATGGTCAATATAGATGGATAAGCTTTGTTCCGCTTATCCGATGTTCAGTTAACAGATAGATACATAATGGTTTGTTACTTGATTCACCTACATTCATGTTATTAGGATTAATTACAGTAAGTTTATTACTATCACCATTATTGTTATTATTACTATTTAATTAAGATATAATTATTTATCCCCAATTAGGGTATGTGACCTATAATTCAGCTTGTACATATATCTCACTTCCTATGTTTGTATGTGTGGTTTGTGTTCGTTGCATTTATTAGATAGACTTATACATTGAGTTTTTTTATTGACCATTGCATACTTTTTTCATTCACATAGTTTGTATTTTGAATAGACATTTTTGATGCCAATTTTGTTGGCTAGTAGCTGACTGTACACAGATCGGCTTTAGTTAACCTTGATTTAATGATATTAATTTAAAGTTAAGAAGTTTATGGCGCTTATTTCAATTTGATGTTAATTTTTATTGCACACATATATCAACTGGTGAATTATTAAGAATCAGAACCCAAAAATGTACATTCACGATATTGCCATGATCTGATCACTGTAAGGATGATGCTATTGGGTCAGAAAATCAAAGTTGTTGTATGACAGTTCAGTGATTAAAGGTTAGGCGCTCACTGTCCTGAGTTCGATTTACGGTTCGGTCGCTGGTGCATACTGTTAAGAAGTCTCATCAAATTTTCTAAATTTAAATTAACTAACTCCACTAGTACCTGTGTATAAGCCATATTATAAATGTGGGCAATAATAATGCTATCCAGTTACCCTAGTTGGAATAAGTGGAGCGGATTTAGAACCCGGGGCATAGTGATCAAAAATCGAATACTTTAATAATTAAGCCACTACCTTACCAGGGATCCTGTACTAGGACGAAACATCTTCCCTGTACTTTCTGATGTTGTTCAGTTGCACCATACTTTAGGTCAGTCAGTGATATAAACTACAAAAATCACAATCCAGTGATCCACAATTTCACGCTCATTCAAAATGCAATATGACACCATCATCGTCATGGTTGCTCGTTACTACACAGTACCAAACAAGGCTAAAATAATGATGTTTAATTCCTTTTAAATTTATCAGTCTTGATGCAATTTAGTTCAAGACAATACTTTTTATCCTGTGTAT